CCCCCCCATATCTCAAAAACGGTGCGTATACTCAATCTGAAATTTTATTATGTGTAAAGGGTCACCCTACAGATGAAAAAATACCTCACACCGACCCCAATTTCGAGGGCCCGAAAACGGGCGAATTTTAGCCCTTTTTGTGCAAGGCTCTTTCTTATGCCTTAAAGAGAAGCTTTGTTTTGTCTGAAACGGCCAGTCGGCCAATAGATCGTTCATGCGCTGTTAAAAATTGAACTTATTCATGCTAGAAGGAACTATGTGTATAAGATTTGCGTGCAACATATTTCCTTTTAGCGTACATATTTCCAATTGTAAAAAGGGTAATAACGGTTGCCCAGGGTTGTTTTTAGGAATAGAGCTTACGATTTGGAGTTGAGTAATGTGTTTCTTCCACCAGAGATACTTCTGCACCGACGGTCCGAGAGCTGCCAAAAAGTAATACCCGTACATCCAGATATGAACAAATGAATTTAGGACTCCGGCCAATACGGCGTGCTCATCTAAAATTTGGAAAACTAACTGGTTAACAACTTGAAATGGACGTATTTCTGTCAAACAGAACTAAGCGCTAAATTGAGTTCCTTTTGAGGATTTTAGAATCCTGGATAGCGCGTCCAATCCAAGCCCCCCTCTCTCTTCCTCCCCCCATGGCGCTTACTTCCGTTTGATAGAAATACGTCCAAATTTTCTAATCCGTATGATTTTTTTTTCTAATAAAAAATCAAAGCATCTTTGGTGCGTGAAAATATTCAAAGAGGCAAAAAATGACCCTAAACTTAAACGAAGGATCGCTCCAAAAGTAAGTCCCATCATCCATGGTCTTAGTTTCCCACACAACGATAAATTAATGGGATGAAAATAATTGTATTGGTCATACTGTCAACAAGGTAGAGAGGTTGAAAATCTGCCCCCTAGATCGCCGGGGAATTCTGTTTCGCTTTAAACACCTTTTCACCGAGCGGGTCCAAAAATGGGGATTGCGGCTTCCAGGACTTTTTGTCCACCTACCTTTCGTCCATTAAATAAATGTCCACCGCTATTTATGTCCACTAAACGTTAAGTCCAGTCTTTATTAAGTCCACATGATTTAATGTCCAACCATGAATATGTCCAAAATTGTCCAAATTGTTGACATGTTATGTCCACATAATTTTCTTTTCATTTAAATGACAGGAACCACCTCAAAAATAAATGCATACTACTACTACCTTCATTCTTAAAAACATTCCATTCATGAATCAAGTCATGAAAGAGTTAGTTAGTTAGTTATTATAATTTTGAGACATTCAGCGACTCAGGCTATTAACGTCTTTACAGGTAATTTTGAAAATATATAGGAGTATAAACGAAAATTTAGCAGTTAAAAACATATGTTCATGTGCACACTGTACGGATATGATAAGATGAAAACCAAAGCGGGAGCCTAGGAAACGCTCCAATGCCAAATTAAACATTTTTCAGTAACAGATGCAGTCAAAATTGAAAGTCCTCTATAACTAGTTATTTCGTGCGCCTTCAATTTTGTAGGATACTGTGCAACGCCTCTGGCGCGAAATAGTTGCTTAAAGCGTTGCGGCGCGGCAGGCAACCAGCGTGACACGCGCATAGGCGCCTACAAACCTAACTGGATACTTCACGCGTTACGCAATGCGTGAGGTATCCCGTTAGGTTTGTAGGCGCCAGTGCGTGTTCTGCGCTGCTAACAAGCCGCTCCGCTCTGTGTTAGGCTCTAATATTTAAATTCGCGGAGTCAGCGTTTTTCAACTCATGATTTTGAAATGCTTGCACTCTCTGCATTGATTATTCCCTTTTAAACTGATGAAAAAGAAATATGTACTACTGGAAAATATAATGTGTTTTTTGTAAATATAATAGTGGTTCCGTGTCAAATTTAATGATTTCCAAAGCATTCAAATTTATTCTTTTATGTTTGGGCTTTTACTGTGCTGCAGCGTGGTGTAAGCGCAACTAAACGCTCAAAATTGGACGTATTTGACTCAAGGAGGTCGATGTACAAATAAGTTAAAAACAAAAAATTGCGTGCTTCTTAGTTTTTTTCCTCTTTTATTAATTTTTGTATAGTTTCTTTATATATTAAATATAAGACGCTACTAAAAAATATGACGCTTGAATTTGATTTTAGTGGACTTTACATTTGTGGACTTAACTTAGTGGACGTTTAAGTAATGGACTTAACAATAGTGTGGGTTTTAGAACTGTGGACGTTAACATTGTGGACGAAAAGTCTGTGGACGTAAAAAAAGTGGACATAAAGTCCGTGTACCATGTCTGAATTGGTGTATTTCTGGGTCGAATTCCACATTCTACAATGACTTTATTCAACAATCTCATCCCAAAAGTCTTTACGGGACACCATTAGCATCCTCCATAGTCGTCAAATTTATAGCCCTCAGTGATTTTCACCATTCCCCTGAACTGAGATCTAGCTTGGTGCTAGAGTCCATACAACTGGTGACGAGGTAAAAAAAACTTCTCATCCGAACTCCAAAGTCAAGACAAGGATTTTTTTCTGTTGGCATCAGAAGAGTTTTATCAGAAAGTTCAGAAAGTTTTTATGTACGTATGTATCATACAGGAGTCTTAGAAAAAGTAAGAGTCCTTTGAAAAGTAATGGTAGGCTGTATAGAACTTAAATTTCATAGGACCGTTTGTTGTTGTTCCGATATTCGGCGCACAGGTGAAGATAAATTTCTGCACACCCAGAGAGGAAGTTGTCGCAGCAAAATTGACTTTTCCACCAGACCAGTTGGCCTATTTCCAGCTTTTTTATGCTGCGTTTGAAAAGTGAGAGTATGACGGACACGCCTTTTTACCGCGTATTCATTTAGTATTAATGGTTTCGTAGATATAAGTTCGTGGAACTTATATTTGGCACGAACGAAACTTGTATCTGGTTTTTTGGAACGAAAATAAGACTCATGGCATCAAAGCTTGGATTTTTCTTTTCCATGTGAAATTAAGACAAGAGGGTACTTAAGCACAATTTGCTCTTTACCCTCTTCCATTTTTTCCAAAAATTGCGCGAGGACTCGAGAAGCAGTGATTCAAATATTTGGCCTTTTTGGAGTCATTTTTTATTGGATAAAAGGGAATAGAGCAAATCTAACTTTTCTCTTTCAATTTTGGAGACCAAAGTATTACACCCATGCAAAGTCTAGATATCCTTACCTTTCATATATTTGAGGAACGCCCAAGATAAAACAAGCATGTTGACGTGGTGAGCGACATGAAGGAAAGTTATATGAGATTGTTTCTTTCTTAAGACGAAGAATATCTGCCGAAAAAAAGGGAGGACATATAAACGGAAAAAGTCGACCTCATATGACAGTTCAAAAAGATAAAAAGAAAAGGGAAAAAATCTTTAAAATTCGCATCAAATTCTTTAAAAAAAAATCGTCTTTTAAATTTAAATCCAAGTATTTTACTTATTAGCAGTTCATTCACCTCATGAGGCGAATTTTCGAGAGTGGCTTTGCTTGAAGTTCTCAACTTACTGCCAATTACGACATTACTTACGACAGAACGAAATTCCCTCCTGGCTACGCACAGGAGATCGAGTCGGTGAGAGGTCGGGCGTAATTTAAAAACTTTAAAAGCTTATAACTCCATTAATATGAAATGTTGATGTTTTAAAAGTAGTTCCATTGGGTTTTTCGTAAAATTTTCTGTAAGAGGCACCCCTAAAAATTAAAGTTGTGACGATAGACGTGTTTTATAATTTTTGTGAAAAATTGCAAGTCCGACTTCTTCCACAGACTCGTCTCACTGTGCCACGGTACGCCTACAACATTTGGACGTATTTCTGCTAAACGGAGCTATGTACACAGGGTTTGCGTGTAATATAGTTCCTTTTCGCATAAATACGTCCATTTGGTAATTATGCTGGCAGCAATGACGACCACATCCAATAATCTCGACCCACCTCCCGAGGTCGGCTGAAAAGTGGATGGGTGCAAACGTTGGCCAAAATTCATCGAGCCACTGAATTTAGTTCTTGACTTCATAGAGGGAATCTTCGGGATTTGGGAATGGACCACTAGACAAGGTACGAATTTAAGCATTCTGATACATGTTTCTTGATCAGAATTTCACGTAACACGTTTCGCGCAACGAAACTTACCGAAATCAACTCCTAACAAAGATATTAACATTTTTATATCACATTGGTTACGAGGAATTTGAACTGCCCGCTCACAAGAAACTCAAAGCTCTACGTGAGTCAAATCGCGCACTACAACGGTTTCAGCGAGCTTCTCGATCGAGCAATGTTCATTTCCCACCATGTGTTGTTCAAACTATAAACACCTTGCTATAGCTGAGCCAAAGCGTCAAGATTGAGGTTGCCAGATTTTTTTTCGCAGAGGCTGTCATGATAACGTTTAGCGCGCGATGTGAGTCACGTAGAGCATTGAGTTTTCATGAGCGGGTGATTTGATCTCACGCATCAAGAATCATTAAATATCTTCGTAAGGAGTTGATTTCGGTAATTTCCGTTGTGCGCATCGTATTCTACGTGAAATTTTGGTTATGAAACGTGTATCAAAATGCTGAAATTCGTGCCTTGTCTATTAGTCCATTTCACCGGCGATATCTAACTCGGTGGTAAGCGTTTTTGCAGTGGCGAGACGCGAATGATCGATTTTCGATATTTCCCCAAATGGAGCTGTGGTAAATCTTAAATTGGACTGCATTTTGCAATTTGGAACTATAAATTCTGAACCGGTTTAAAAACAACGTATGTGCCATTAGTTTCCCTATGCACATAAGTGTTTTTTCAGATGAGCCAGAATTTATAGTTCCAAATTGCTAAATGCAGTCCAATTAAAGATGTTCGTCGCGAACGCCTTGTTCATCGATCCTTTTTCAGGTTTAAACGGCAGATCAATCGATGTATTACAAAGCACGCCACGCCACTGCTTTTTTTGGTGCAAATACCGATCCCTTATTTCTCTTTCTCTCTCCCTCCCCCCCCCTCTCCGCTCTCTCCTTCCCCCTAGATCAGCCTCATCCCCTTTCCAGATTTATCTCATTCCAATTTGCAATTCCATTTAACCTTTATCTTCAAAAATACACAAATCATTCATATTTCACGGATACTGAGCTCTTACCGTATCTAATAGATCCGTCAATTTGGACATGAAGAAGTACCAGGCCCCTGTTAGAACCTGAAAGGAGAGTGCGTTTCTCATTAATAATAGCAGTTAACTTCAGTTCTGTGGAAAATTATGCACATCATAAGATAGACTCATCAAAGATAGAGGGATTTATAATAATTTATCAAAAATGTAAATGTAAAATGAAAATACCCTTATTGTTTCTTAAGGCACCTACCAGATTCTCGGAAAATTGAAGTTTCAAATTCTGCAAGGAAAAGCCCCTATCTGTTTCAAAACTTGATTGTCTCAGGGTGTTGGAATAAAAATTAGGTTTATTTTTAGCTTGAGCCGTATATAAGTTAGACGAGAATAACCTCATCAGACACTTGAGTTAATTTTGTTCCCTCTTTTCTCGAGGTGTATTTTTATTTATTTAATTATTTTTTCGGATTGCTAAAAGTGTGTTACATAATATTTAAACTTACAGGCATGAAATATGGATTATCCCGCCTTCCTAGGAACTTGCACATGTGTTTTTTTGTGTAGACCATACCTCCAGGAGTGGCAAATAGCTAAAACAATAAGTTAGAGAGACAGAAAGAAAAATAGTTAGTGACTTTTAGAGGGTAACCTAGAATAAAAAAGGGTACTCGCATCGCCAAAAAGGACTATCCGCTCATCCAGATCGTTTAAAGTTACGGGCATTTAAATGGACTATGCCGTGGCTGTTAGTCTGCTTTTACTTGAATGTTTGTCAGTTTTTTAAAGTTTATTGATTTGATCAGCATTTTGGTGCTCTGATCTTGGATTTTCAAAGTTTCAGCAATAATATATAGGTAGGTTTTCGAGATTTACCCCTAAAATCCGCTAAAATCTCTCCAATGCCTCGTTTATGGACGTGTTTTCGCGCGCTTTAATTCGCGCGACCAATCAGAAAATGGACTGTCCAGCTCCATTGCTTTTTGCTCCATTGCAATCCGTGGACAGTCCATGTTTTGATTGGTCGATCACTTCTCCGCGTAAGGCGGAAATGCGAGCACCAGAATTGCGATGTATCGATTGTTATGCCATTTAAACCTACGGTAAAGAATCGATTATTAAGGTGTTCACTGCGAACAACCTGTCTATCGATCCTTTTCCATAGGTTTAAAAGGCAGACCAATCGATACATCGCAAAGCACGCCACGCCACTGGCGAGCACCCGCTTTGATTCTAGTATACACAAGTGGTTTTCATAGCGTGCAATGAGCATTGCTGGACACATCATCGATGATAAAACTGGGGCGTAATTTCACGAGAATATTGTAAAAGTATTAGTTCACTGGACCAGCAGGAATTGTATTTCTTGTTTCTGCAAACATTAATGAGAATGGCCTCTGTAAACTTACCAACCATACAAGCCATCCATTGAAGAATACTTGAAATAGATCGTACGCTATCAGGAGCTTCTTTATCCTTAGGGGCTTCCTTTTTTCCATTATTTTGGGACCCAATTTGAGAATGAACAGTAAGTAAGCAACAATAATAAAAAAAATTGGCCGAAAACTACTCATCAAAAACCAGCCGTCCACAACATCATCTGAAAATGACCCAAAAATATCCAAATAATTCAACAGCATGGGTGAGCAACCCCTCCTCCTCCTGCCTTTTTCATTCCTTGACTTTTTTTGAAAAAAGCTAAACCTAACTCGTTGATTGAATCTTGCATCGAGGTCATTACGATGTACAACAATGAGCACACGACTTTTATATAATAATTAAAACTGTACGATTTGGGAATGTTTATTGTTTACGTTTCTACCCTTGCGTTTGAGTCTCTAAGAAATAATATATTTCCTCTTCATTAAAACTTAATTTATCGATGAAGAGGGATTAATGGCGTTATTGGTAAGTAGTGTTGTATCGATGAAGATACAGTGGATATCGGATATAACGACCTTGAAGGGACCAGCCATATTCGGTCGTTATAGCCGATAGTCGTTATAACCGATAGTGGAATTTTTACGCACGTACCCTATGTTGAAGAGCTAAGAACAAGGCTGTGCTGTAGGTGGGATTCCAGAGCCCGGTGAATTTTGCTGCTGATTCATTATCTCTTCAGTAACACCTTTGTTTATTAGCTTTATCTAATTTTATTTGAATTGAATATTTATTTAATTCATTTATTTTTTTATTCTAGGACTAATTTTAATTAAAACACTCTGCTTGAATTTGTAAAAAGAAGGTATTTTATAATATTGAGAATACATGCACTACACACTACATTATGTTTGCAATACATATGCGCAATACCGAAGAAGTATAAAACTTCTAATTTGAATAATAGTCCGTGATTTCTTTTTGCTTCACAATCGTGTTCTCGTACCCTTTTTGTAACGCTCTATGGGCCGAGCGTAAAGTGTGATAAAGTGGAATCGTTCCATTCTGGGTTCAAAATTAGGAATTTTTGAACAGTTGTGATGGCTTCTAGGGCGTCTGGAAACGAGATCCTCTCCTCTTCGGCCTCTGTTGCTGTCGCTCAGGTCGTTATAACCGATCACCACATCTGTTGAGACGCGAAAACTCCGTCGCTATGACCGATATGTCGTTATATGCGATGTCGTTATAACCGATACATAAATACATTGAATGAATGGGATTTCAGCCGGGACCGACCAGTTTACGTCGTTATGCCCGATATGTCGTTATAACCGATGTCGTTATATCCGATATCCACTGTAATTCAATGAAGGAACAGTGAAATTCCTATGAAAAACTCGCTGATTTTACTGATCTAAGTGTTTGCAAGAAGAATTATGATATCGCCAAATATATTAGTATCTTCTTCAAAAGCCTCTTTCGCCGGTAAATCACAGCGCATGTTGGCAATGCATATCGATGGTGGAACTGCGGAAATGCGTACCTCAATTTTTCACTCTCACTTTAAGTTGGACGTATTTAAATGAAAAGGAACTATACCTACACCTATTCCGACGTGAGCCCCAATATGCATAAGAATACACACATGACAGGGTTCATATCACAATGGACATAGTTCCTTTTGATTTAAATGCGCCCAGTTCATAATATATTCGACGTAAAGATTGGTTGCGAAATTTCTGTCATTAACGTGAAGCGAAATACTGGCTTACCTCTGACAAATTCGTCTTTGAAGAGATCCATTTTTTCTTGAACCCAGTTTTCTCTTCGAATCTGCGCCATTGTGGAAGCCTTAAATCCTAGAGACTGGTGCCTGAAAAGTGGCATCCGCGTTCAAAAAAAAGAAAAAAGTACTCAATCTATTTGGCAAATTTTTTTTAAAAATACTGCCGCGATCGCAATTTTCCAAATTGGCAGCAATATTGCATCATTATTTCATAATCGCGATACAGGATTTAACACCACCTAATTAATAGACATTTTTTCATCAACATTTGTCAGCATGAAAATGAGTGTCTCTTTTAGGCACATTTTTTTAGTCCGCATGTATTTCATTTATGGAATATTAACTCATTTTACGTATAATATTTAAAGAGTCTGTTATAGCTTTGCTGCAAGTCCATCTCCTCAGCAATGTGCACAGCAAAATTTAAAAAAACGAAAGTTACATCAAAATTAAAAGGACGAGATGACTTGGCACGCAGAATCTAAGTTTCGGCACATTTTCTCATTTTATGAAGAATTTTGAAAAACCAAAAAATTGTTCATGAATTTACCTGGTGGGGAAATAAATTAAAGTGAACAATATGCTGACAAATACATTACCTTGGTTAGAATGGAGTATCTGCAACAAGAATGGAAGCTTTTATCACTCTTTAACTGCGAAAAATGTGCATCTAAATGGATATGCGATGCGGTGAGGCAAATATCGGCACTGATCTCTTCCGAGTTTATAAACCGAAACGGCTGTCACTTACTAGTAGTGGGATTGGATCTTTCACCGATGAAAACATACGATAACTACTTAAATCCGTTCGAAACTTCTTTTTTTTAAATATCTCAGTGCATTTCTCTATATTTTATTGTTTTATTTTTTTTATTTATATAACATTGACCCACCGCCGATGTAAAGTCAAAGTTTATTGCAAATCTAATTATAACGTCGAGCGGCTCTTACATAAGTCTACTTATTGGTAAGTCTTCGATAAAAAAAAACAACCGCATCAAGATCCTGATTTTTCCACTACTTTGTGTCTCGGATCTTCAAGATCTCACAATTCAGAGACAAAAAAAAGGTAATTTTTTCCGGTCATCAATCTGATATTTTTGTCATTTTTTCGAGACTCCACCAACGTTGAGCTGACCCCCATCTTTGAACAAGTGAGTAATTTTCCTCTCCAAAATTAGATCCAATTTCTTCATTGGATCTCAAAATCATCATTTTCCTAGGAAGTTCATTAAGGTTCATCAAAAAAATAAAAGTTTGAAATGTTACTGTCCCTAGGCGGCAATCGCTGATTGCCAATCGGTGCCACTTTGTTAAAAAATGCTTTGTATGCTTTGTATGCTTTGTATGTACCAACGCTTTGATGATCTGCGGAAATTCTTTAAAAATGAGATGGCTATTATCCTCGAGCAGAAGAGTCGAGTATCATACTCCGCAATTGGACTCCAATCATTAAGGAAAAATTTAAAAGCTTTGATCATGAGAATAACATACTGTTGCCCTCTACATTAAAAAAAAAAAAAAAAAAAAAAAAAAAAAAAAATCGGGAGAAGGGTGTAATATGTCCATATACAGGGTGTTTCAGACCACCCGTACCAGGCCTTTTTCTCGGTTGTTATAGGTCGTACGAAGTCGGAGACCGCGGGGTTGAATAGGGAATTGACCCCAAGAAATCCAAATTTCGTGGTCCCGAAACCCCCTCACCCCCCCTTGGGGGGTAAAGGGGGGTCACGATGCTAAAAGTCACGGTTCCCGACCGAATTGCGAATAGATCACATCAGAATTGAAAAGCACGGAAAATTTCACGTGGAATTGACCCCTAAAAATCCAAAATCGGACCATCCAAGGCCCAAAAATGACCCCCTAAAGAGGGATACAGTACCCCCCTCCATACTTCCTCTTTGGTCTCAAAATTGACGTAAATTCTCCAGAAAAAGACGGTTTCCCGGGTAATCGACCTCGAGAAATCCAAATTTCATGGTCCCGAAGCTCCTCTAGCTCCCCTTGGGGAGTAAACGGGGGGGCCCAATTTTAAAAATCGGGGCTCCTTTCCGAATCGCAAATTGATTGCATCCAAATTGAGGAGCAGAACACATTTACATCTTAAGTGACTCCTAAGAGTTCTAATAGACCCCCTGAACGGCAGAAAGTAACTCCCTGAGAAAGGGGGTCTCGTCCCCGCCAAAAATTTCTCAGGATTCCTCTTTGGTCGCAAAACTGACGTCGATTCTCCAGAAAAAGACGGTCTCCCCTGTAATCGACCCCGAGGAGCTCAGGGAACATGAAGTTTAGAGTCCTTGGGGTCGATTACATGGGAAACCGTCTTTTTCTGGAGAATCAACGTCAGTTTTGCGACCAAAGAGGAATCCTGAGAAATTTTTGGCGGGGGCGAGACCCCCTTCCTCAGGGGGTTACTTTCTGCCGTTCAGGGGGTCTATTAGAACTCTTAGGAGTCACTTAAGATGTAAATGTATTCTGCTCCTCAATGCAATCAATTTGCGATTCGGAAAGGAGCCCCGATTTTAAAATTGGGCCCCCCCGTTTACCCCCCAAGGGGGGCTAGAGGAGCTTCGGGACCATGAAATTTGGATTTCTCGAGGTCGATTACCCGGGAAACCGTCTTTTTCTGGAGAATTTACGTCAATTTTCAGACCAAAGAGGAATATTATGGAGGGGGGTACTGTCTCCCTCTTTAGGGGGTCATTTTTGGGCCTTGGATGGTCCGATTTTGGATTTTTAGGGGTCAATTCCACGTGAAATTTTCCGTGCTTCTCACTTCTGATGTGATCTATTCGCAATTCGGTCGGGAACCGTGACTTTTAGCATCGTGACCCCCCTTTACCCCCCAAGGGGGGGTGGGGGGGTTTCGGGACCACGAAATTTGGATTTCTTGGGGTCAATTCCCTATTCAACCCCGCGGTCTCCGACTTCGTGCGACCTATAACAACCGAGAAAAAGGCCTGGTACGGGTGGTCTGAAACACCCTGTAGTTTTGCTTGGATTGTGTAACTTCGTCAGTCTCCTTTTATGAATATTCTCACTTAACTTTGCCCAAAATATTTAAGAAAATTACCTCATTAATTTAGAATACTTCAAAAGGCAAAAAAATAAAACTCTTGATTGATGAAGGTACCAAAAGCAGCATCAAATTCCAAACATTGCTGCATCAAAGTATATGTGTCTTTTTCGCGAAAGGTCTTTCCTATGTGACAGTTCATAAAAACCATGCCCTTAGCCTACTAAATGAACTTAAAAGTTATTGATATCAGACCGCAGAGAATTGTTTGACGAACGTTTCTGTAGAAAAATCCCTCAAAAATATGAGACCAAAGCGGAGTTATGGCAGTTATTAAATTATTCTCATATGAAAAACGCAGTTTCAAGAATAAGCCAGCTGAAATCTTTATCTGCCATCTGCAGAGCACAGACTCTGAACATCATTCCTCGACATGCAATTAATTTATGTCGATCGTAAACAGCATCATATTAGAGTCGTTGTTATTTACAATTTAAAAATCTCTTTCGTGAGTCAAAAACAATTTACGATATGTGTAAGTTTTTACGTGACATTTTGGAGAGAATCGTGTGTTTCAATTCGACCATATTTTGCATTAAGAAACCATTAACTCTGGCTCATCCACAAAAGCATAAATCAACACAGAGAAACGAATGGCATATATTTTTCCTTTGAAATGAGTCAGAATCAGTAGTTCCTCATAGCAAAATGCAATCCAATTACACCCCCTTTCAATGGAATATCGACGATCTGAGAGACTTAAACGCCCGGTTAGAAAAGTAAGCTACTAACCAGAGACAGCTAAGGGTCAGTTAAATAAAGTTAAGTCAGTTAAGTTAAGTTAAGTTAAGTCAATTAAATTAAGTGAGAGGAGCCTCGTAGTTCTTTTTAGGAGTAAAGTCGTCAATTTTTCCTCGGGAGAGATCCATTTCTCTCAATGTCTCTCATTTCTGAGGTGGTTGTTCATCCTCATCCAAATAATAATTATACGAAGAATATGGAATTTCGGTTAAAAAGAAATCGTTCATCTAGCATTTTTCAAATACTCATATGCCGATCATTCTCAACCCGGCTTTTACCTTGGCCGTTCGGGAATCCGAACAATTCGAGAGTCGAATCGACTGATCAACATTTTCCGTTTACAGTTTTATCCTCCTTCACCAAGATGGTGATTCTTTTTTTTTGTTCGCTCAAGACTTTTTGCCACTTTCTCCTTCTTTTTTGTTTCAATGAAAAAGAAGAAACTCGCGCCTTCTTACGGACGGACACTCGCGCTTATAGAAGACCCCTCGAAAATCCTCGTGAAAGCACGCGGAGACACTAAATGCGTACGCAGAGAGGTTTGGTCCCGACGGGAAAAGGATTAATTTAGCATATGCCCCCCTCTCAATGGGACCCTTATCGTCGTGTCAAGGACTATTACGGCATGTGAATTAAGGTGTTTCTGTTTCCTTCCTTGCAAAGCTCGTTTACGTAACAGTACGTTCGAATTCTCCCCAGCTGTTTCATCGGTTGTTCTACGTCTGATGTTGTCAAGAATTTTTCGCCAAATTATTAAATATCCCTACGCTCTTTAATTACCCTCAAAAATGGCATGCTACAGGAGGAGAAACAAGACCTGATTTGCATACCCTGCGTTTCCTCTGCACGACAGTGTATCCATAGATGAGGTCGAAAATGCTTATCTCCACTGGACATATTTATGATAAAAATAATTACGTCCATTAGGTTTGCGAGCAACTTGGTACCTTTTCGTATAAATGCGTATAAAATAGTATAAAAGTCTCCGATTGTGTTTTATACTATGGAAGGGAAAGTACTCAACATATTTTATTGAAGCTTTGTGTGAGCTTTATAAAATGAGTGGAAAGAATTCATAACGACGGTAAAATAGCAGAGACGTAGAATTCGTTGCCAATATTTCAAGATATATGCTTTTCTTTTCTTTTTTCAAGAAAAAAACCAACATTATAACCCTGAATTTGTACAAAACATTATGCACACTGAGAAACAAAATCACGGAAGCACTCAAAATGTATAGTCGAGTCTACAGTTTTCTGTTTAAAAAATAACGTATGGCAAGAAGTCTGCAATGCCGCAAACCGAGATACCCACGTATTTTTGCAATTTCCCTGAATAGGAGGTTTCAGTAGAAACTGTTGATTAGTTTTTCATAAAATGAATTAAATAAAAGTGAAGACTTATAATGTCGCAATCTGTCGAGGTACACATTTGTAAATTTTAGCCGTCGATATATGCATTTACTGCGAAAAAATTCTTACCACCCTTTTAGATAGACTCTTTGAGCGCAAAGGACACTATTGACTTGATGGAGATGGATAAAAAGTGATAATAAGCAAAGAATTTAAAGACCTCCCCCAAAATATATCCATTTCATACGAGGAAAATGTCCTCAGATGGAGCGAGAGACTTGCTCAGAAATTAGGAAAAAATCGATCTTGTCGTGGGAAGGCATAGATCGTATTCGCTACGTCAAACGGGTGAGATTGTATCGATATCGATTGGTTCAAAACATAAACATTGCCTCAAAAGTCAATTGAGTCATCTAGCGGGACGGATTTTCTGTGATGGATTTTTGATTCGCATGAGTACCAATTAGCATAGAGTACTGGAATTGCTACGAAATTTCTCATTTTCAGCTTGTCTCACAAATATCGTAATATTTTGGTTTGAGGTTATGTTCTATTATTTTGAACCAAACGATACATCGAACCACTATCGAATACGATCCATTAAAGGCAGTCCACGGTATTTGTAAGTTGATGCATGATCACAATAAAAAATTCATCAGTTCTACACCATTAACCTGGTAAAAATTGGCAGTAGCATCTGTGTTCCAAAATACCATAGACCTAAAGCCGGCTGTAAGATTTTCAATAGCTTCCATAGACGGCTGCACAATTTCTTATGGCCTTTTATAGCCGATGGCGATTAAGCAACAGCCAGGCGATAAAGTGTATGCTAAATGTTACTAATTACGGATGCTAGGACTTATTGAGTTTTTGGACTACCGCTCTATGTTTGGGCCGTAGTATCTTGATTTATTTTGCGCGGAAAGCTGCGTACTTTTGAAGGATGCCTGCCATTCCTAATATGTTGGGGCGCCTTTAATTTCGTATGATACTGTGCAATACCTCTGGTGTGAAATAGTTGCTTCAAGCGCCGTGGCACGCTGCGGCGCGGCGGGCAGGTAGCCAGCGCGAAACACGCATTGGCGCCTACAAACCTAACAGGGATACTTCAAGCATTGCGCAATGCGTGAAGTATCCCTGTTAGGTTTGTAGGCGCTAGTGCGCGCTTAACTCTGGCAGCACGCCGCTCCGCTCTGTGTTAGGCTCCAATATATAATCTCGCGGAGTCAGCGTTTTTCAATCCATGATTTTAAAATGTTTGCACATCCTGTATGGATTATTCTCATTTCAATTGATGAAAAAAAAAATATGTATTAAAGGAAAATATAATGTGTGTTTTGTGAATATTATGGTGGTTCCTTATCAAACTTAATGATTTCCAAAGCGCACGAATTTCTACACAATTTCTTATAGCCGTTTATAGCCGATGGCGATAAAGTGAAAAGCCCGGCGATAGGAACTATATCCCGGCTGTATACTTTTTTTTATCGCTTCGTATAGCCCGGCTTTATGATTTGCTCCGCTTTCTACAGCCAGCTATACGATTTTCTATTGCCTTCTTAAGCCGGCTGTAAGAATTCCTATGGTATTTTGAACCGCAGCTCCTATCGCCAATTTTTACCAGGGTGTACTTTAAGCGACATACATATACATAACCATGTACAAAATATAATTTTTGTTTTACTTTTCCAGAAACAAACTTTTTATTATAAAAATATACAAATTAAAGGGGTTTGATACATTTTCAAGAATCCATACGTTAGAAAAAAAAACATATGAAGGTATGAGTATAATTTTGTAGATTTTGATGTGTTCTGTGAGATTTGTCACAAAAAATAACCAATCCTCACTTCTGAGAGAGGCTAGCTTGAAGAAAGGAATGGATAAATGACATAACGAACGCCACTCGTGGCTGATGTATCAAAAACATTTAACGCTATTAATTCAGTAATACAATTAATTTTAGGAACTTTTCATGTCTATCTCTCCATCGGACTTCCTTTTAAACACATTCTATCTCAACGGTGTAAGCCCGCAACAACGCATCTCGTTTGCGGTGTTTGAAAATCTCGGCTCTTATTTTATTTTTTTTAAAAGCCTCCTTTTCCCAAGATTTGGCTGCAATAACACCATTGAGTCACATTTCAACTAAAAAGCCGCGCAGAACATTTCACTTGAAAAATGGACCCGGTCAGTGGCGTGGCGTACTTTGCGACATATCGATTGATTCGCTATTTAAAAATATAGAAAAGGATCGATAAGCAGGGTGTTCACAACGAACACCTTAATAATCGATTCCTAAAAATAGCAACAAATGTAGAAATATCGATAATCAATCATTCACGCTTCCCCCTTGGACCGGGCTTACAGAAAGGAGCCAAGTCTCATTAGCCATTGCCAAATTTGAATGGGCGATTTAATTTTTTACCAGAGAACGTTGGGCGGATTCCTTTGAAAAGTTTAAGATATTAGCTTCGTGCTATCCAGAAAATTCACTAAAATTTTCACAAAATCCGCACAGCTAGTTTCCATGTATGAAATTAAATTCTCCAATTAATTTGGAAATAGCTGATGTGGCATGGTCTTTTCCCGCTTACCGCGCAGGGTGGCAAAATTTCATAAAAAATAAAGTCTTGAAATTTCACGTGAAATATTCCATGAAATTTCCGAAATTTATGAAAGATATTGAAAAATATCCGTCCCTTTTCAAGTCTCGCAGAATGTAAAAATTGTGACTTTTTTCTAATTTTGCGTGTTTGAGTGCGGGCTGCATACTCTAGCCTCTGAAAAATATGAAGTATTTCACAGCCTCGTGAAATTTCATGAAATTTTCACACAAATAATGAAAATGAAATTTTTCACTGAAATTTCCAATCTTCCATTTCTTTCTCACGTTTCATGCCACCCTGGTACCGCGGTCCCAATGTTGATGAGTAGGATCGCATTTTGCAATTTGGAACTATAAATTCTGGCCTGGCTTAAGAACTACACTGAGAAAAAACTATGGTTTATAAACCTATTAGAGGTAAATATGGAACACCTATAATAGTCGTAAATAAACTAATGATTCTCGGTCTGTGAACCATACTAAGGTCTCTGTACGTAATTAAGGTACCCCGTACCATAACTAAGGTATATGTGCTATTATTATATGTAGAGGTACTACTATTAGTGGTGTTCCATATTTACCTCTAATAGGTTTATAAGCCATAGTTTTTTCTCAGTGTACGCATGTGCCATTAGTTTCCCAATGCACACAAGTGTTTTTTCAGATGAGCCAGAATTTATAGTTCCAAATTGCAAAATGCAGTCCAGTATCCTAGGCCTTCAGCAACATCTTAATATTGCCCAACTTATCGACTATATCCCCGACGGTCTTCAACTGTTCCTGCGTGTAGTCGACGGTGAGGGTGCTCTTGAGGGCTCCGGTCTGGGGGTTGGCGGCCTGGACGGCCTCGGAGATCTTGGACCAGTTGATCTCGAGGTAGTTGGTCTTGGCGTCCGGGTAGTCCAACTTGGATGCGATCCTCTCCTCGATGTGCCCGAAGCGCGCCGCCTCCGACAGGGACTGGATGCAGACGATGAGACTCCTGGCCCGCACGGCCGTGTCCTCCGGGTTGTCCGCCAGTTGCCGCGCGGCCGTTCGCAGAGGCTCGACCCCCAGTTGGATCTTCTCTTTCGGCGTTTTGTTGCTGGCTTGAGCCAGTTTCACGTAGCGACCCGATCCGATGGTTTTACGAGCCGTCGCGCCTGCAAAAACACCCGCAAACTATCTTAAACACCGTTGAACATTTTCGAGTGAAACTCTTTGCCGGAGTTTGCATCAGTCCCCCAAAGCCGAAAAGTAAGCAACTCACATTCTTGAAAAAATAGTCGAAAAACAAGGGGGAAAACAGGAAAAAAAGGCTAAAATACACAATTTAAATAAAAACCGAGACGTTTCGACTCGAGACTGAGTTATTTTTAGTCGAGAATACAATAAAAATTAAAAAAAAAAAAACGACGAAAAACCTGAAAATTTTTTTTTTCTCAGAGCCTGGCCACCACCATGTAGGGCTCAGGTTTTTCATCGTTTTTTTAAATTTTTATTGTATTTCCGGCTAAAAATGACTCAGTCTTGAGTCAAAACGTCTCGGTTTTTTTAACTGTGTATTTTAGCCTTGTTTCCCGTTTTACCCCTCGTTTTTCTACCGTTACCATTGTCTCGGGCTGCTCTATAAAAATGTGTATCCATTCTTGAAAAAATCCAATTGCTGTCGGTTTGGAAATCTTCAATAACGGTCCCGTGTGCGTGTGGAAAATGTGGTAGCCTCTATTTTAGCCCGGTTATGAGATACGAATTTTCAAGTATATTTCGATACTATGAAAGGGATTTGTAAAAAATGTTTCGAGGCGTTATGTCGCTGAGTTTCTCCGTGAACCAATAACGTGCCGGGAAATCACTCTGCATCTGATATAATTAGACTGATTATGGTCAATCAGTACAAATTAGCAATTAATTTAAGTGATAAGCATTTTGGTTTCGAGGAGGTTAGAGGAGTTCAACCATATGTTTCAATCTAATGTACGCTATAGCGTGCACAACAACGTAGCGTAGGCAAAAACAACTTAGTGCTGAGCCTGAGCCCTAACAGTTTAGATTAGAGTACCTTTATAGACAGAGTATGGCCATTTCTGTTCCGATTTTTCATTGGTCGCCAGCGAATAGGCTGACACGATGCTCTTAGGGCCGGAAATAAACAAACAAGATGGCTGTTATCAGCAAGCAAGTTTGAGGTTATGCACATCTTACATCCTCCTGTGATATAGGCGAAAGGCGATTTAACAGTGTTTTCATGTGTTTTTTATGTGTTATTCGTAGATATGCTAATTTAAATTGTTCCTGCCGTGTAATTGAAATTTTTGTCAAATTTTAGCTTCTAATCGATGTTACAGTGAGCCGCCATCTTGTTTGTTTATTTACGGCCCTTAGAGCATCATGAAGCCTAAAAACTCGTTGACCAATCAAAAAGTGGAACAGTTTTCCTGTAGTAAAAAGATACGAATGGCCATACTCTGTCTATAAAGGTACTCTAGTTTAGATCAAATAGAGTCAGCTAGTAAGACTGTAGTGCTGAGCCCTACAACTTTAGGGTCCAGCCCTACAGTCCTACAGCCTTACAGTGAGACTGTAAGCCTCAGCACTACTATCTTATCAGCTGCGGGGACGCAATCGCCTCGGAGCCTAGAAGGGGCAACACTGCACGGGAGGATACTCCAGTGAGGTGTGAGTTGCATACCTCATGATTTGAAGGATAACACTTATCGACGATATGTAAGTCGGCAATCACATAACTCGGTTTGCGACGTCGCAGACATCCTGTCATATTTTCTTTTTTAAAAATCACGGCAATTTTTGTTAAATTGCCGTGATTTTTCTTCTCTGTGCGAAGAAAATTCTGCAAAAACTTCAAGGAATGATGTCACTTTGTTCTCCTTCAAAAAAATAACATAGAGGCGGAGGACTCCAAACACCGCAAGCGAAATATCGTCACCTTCCAGGCAAAGTATCACAAGCGCCATGCGACGTTTAAAAATTTCCGCCGCCATTATATTTTTTTACTGAGAAATTGTTGGTTGAATCTATTTGGAAATTTCACTAAATTTTATCGGCAGGACAAAGAAAATTCAGTGAAATTTTCTGACAGCTTCGTTGAACAATTTCTCTGTAAAAAAATATAATGGCGGCGGAAATTTTTAAACGTCGCATGGCGCTTGTGATACTTTGCCTGGAAGGTGACGATATGTGATTGAGGACTTATGCCGTCGTCGCTGTCGTTATATTTCGTACCGTATACTCAATGCTTTGCAAGTAAATGTTGAGCGGGCTGCATATCCAAAACTTTGAGGGAGCAAACCCGTGTTTCTGGTTTCATACCTAAAGATTCGAGGGGGGAAAAAATAATGAAGGTGTTGCATGTGTGAGGAATTTGCGAACTGACCATTGATTCTTTTGTAAAAGTTCGCGAGGAACACGATGGTGCCACTAGTTTTTTCTGAAATCAACTCCCAAGCTCAAGAAAAACTCTCAAGTTTGGGCCAAAATGGAGGGGATTTCCCACGCTATTCTGAGAGTCCACGTCATCTACATCAAGACAAACTCTTCATGCAAAGATAGGGAGCAAATACATTGACAGGGATGCCACTTTTTTGGGAAACTCTAAAACTGAAAACACGGCAACCCTGCTGATGTATTTGCTCCCTATCTCCGCATGGAGAGTTTGTCTTGGTGTGGATGTGGACTGAGTGGATTCTCAGGATAGCGTGAGGCCCCTCCATTTTGGCCTCAACTTGATAGCTTTTTTTGAGCTTGGGACTTGATTTCAGAAAAAAACTAGTGGGACCATCGTGTTTCTCTTGAACGTTTACATGAGAATCAATAGTCAAATCGCAAATTCCTCACAGGTGCAACATCTCCAATCTGAGCGCGTAAACACCTACCTGCGAAGAAAGTGGTCGGGAGTCCGAACTCTGCAGCTTCGTCGAGGAGGTAGGCCGTGGTTTTGGACTTGAAGCCGAGGACGTAGAGATTGGCCGCGTAGACGGCGAAAGTGACGACCAAAGACATAAAGACGGAGTGCTCGTATCTAAAAGCACGGGGAAAAAGTGAAGCTAGGTTCGGCGCTGCGCGTTTGTGTGAGTGTGTAAATGAGCGCGGGAATCCATGGCGGCAAACGGAAATTTGATTTGAACTTGTCCTCTTGATTTTTCCTTATTTCTTCTTCGAAACGTGTTTTAAATGCTTAAAACGATTATATTAAGAAAGTTCGGTCTGCGTCCTAATATATTACACCTACTTTTGCTCGGTAACAGGCAGTAATCTCAGATAAAGTTAGTTTTTCTTCTGCTTATGGTGGTTCTGCAGGTTCAAACAGGCCGTTACAGTTCTAGATCTACGTTACTCCCAAATGAAATCAGTCGGTCGACGACGGACCGAAACTAACCTAAAGTTAATAAAATATGAGTGTGTACCTGAATTTGGGCAAAAATCAACCTAAAATACTTTGTTTCCGCAATTTTATTTATTAGTTCCCGCCCTACATTTGAATTCAAACTTGTCCCGATTTCGCCGCCAATCCTCTAGCCAATAGTAGAGGTGATTGAAAAGAAGCTCTAGAAGCTTCATTTTTTGCTTTTAGTGCTCCGTCTTTATGTCTTTGGTGACGACCTTGTTCTGTCCGAGGTCGAATTTAACCTGGACGAATTTGTCGTCGGTCTTGAGGGATTTGGCGTCGCAGAGTCGGGGCAAGGAGGCGTGCTCCTTGGGGCGACTCCGCGTCACCGTGTCGCACCTCACCGAATCCCGGAGTTTCTGGACGCTCCTGTAGTAGTCGTCAACCCGGAAGTCGACCACTTTGACGGCGCATCCGCCCAGAAATACAGACCCGAATACGAGGCACCAACAAAGTGCTGATAACCCGCGTCCTACCATTCTTCCTCCGCTCTTGTTTCTTCGAGAAGTGATAGGTACCTGTTGGCACAAATCCATCCAAAATTTCAAGGCAGGTCAACAAAGGATTGGTTGAAATATTTTAAAAACAGCAGCCCGTGACCATGGTGATATCAAAAACATAGGAGAAAAAACGGGAAACAAGGCTAAAAAGTACACATAAAAATCCGAGACTTTTTGGCCGGAAACTGAGCCATTTTCAGGCGGAAGAATGAAAATAAAATATAAAAATTCCAAATATAACAACGGTGAAACTACCAAACCACGTATCTCGTTTGCGGTGTTTAAAAATCTACGCTCACGTTTTATTTTTTGGAAGTAGACCAAATCAATATCATTCCTTGAAATTTTCACAGAATTTTCTCCGCGCGAAGAGGAATAATCACAGAAATTTTCAAGACTGGACTTTAAATAGTTTTTCATTTAAAAAATAAAGTATGACAGGAAGTCTGCGACGTCGCAAACCGAGATACGTGGTTTGGTAGTTTCACCGTCGATATGTAGAAACCTGCAGACTACGCAATGGCCGAGGAAATCGAACCCTCCAATTTTACCAATTCATCGAGCAATTTTATTTTTATCCTTCCGACCGAAAATGGCTCAGTTTTGGGCCGAAACGTCTCAGATTTTTATGTGTAATTTTTAGCCTTGTTTCCCGTTTTCCCTCTCATGTTTTTGATATCAGCAAAGGATATGAGTCAATGGCTCAGTTGCGCTGATCACGGAGTCGTGTTTTGAAACTTGATTCTTGTAGATCAGCTAAAAATAATACGATCCGTCCAAACAGCAACTGTCTACGTTCAATATTAACCGCACTGAAAAAAAAGTAGCTTGGATCCAGGGTCCAGACTCTTAAAAACATTGACAAAAAAAAATACTCTTGATTTAATCGGATTTTTCGCTTAGTTAAAAGAAAATCCGCCTACATCTAGAGGCTCGGTTCTTCAATTCAAGGAAAAAATTTAATCAAGTGTATTTTTCTTGTCAATGTTATTAAGAGTCTGGACTCAAGATACGAGCGACTTTTTTCCAGTGCGAGATATCGCGCTTTGAAAAATTCGGTTTATGACGACATCCACCGCGGTTGTGAGACCCTTGATTTTTCTACTTTGCTTTCATCCGAGTTTCACGTTGAGTAACCAGTGCAAGTATGTGTTTCCCTGACTGATGAAAGCGAGGTGGAAGAAACCAAGGGTGTCGTGACCGCGGCGGATAACATCAAAAACCCGACTTTTCAAAAAGCGATACCTCGGTTCAAATTTAACGGGGAGAGCTGCTGATGCTGTTTAGACTGTGGTCTACAAGAATAGAGCATCAAAACGCAGTTCTGAGATCAGCGCAACTGACCCATTGCACTCGTACCAGAATCATGTTCTGATGCACCGAAAAAAAAGTGAAGTTGATTTAACATTCTGGATGAAAAAAAAAAAAAAAAAAAAAAAAAAAAAAAATGTGAGAACTTGTAAAATGCTCAATTATCCGCTACAACAGGTACTTAACCAATGCCAAAAAGTAAAAGAAACTACATTGTCGGGTAATTCAGCATTTTTAAAGTTCTCGCACGCTTCTTTTTTTACATCTAGATGATCTAGAATGTTAAATCAACTTCAATTTTTTTCGGTACGTGCTTTAAGCTGAAAGATTAGAGAAAAATAACAATCTGTTAAAACGGCAAGTTTTTACGTCAAATTTTAAGAGGGGATATATTTCACGGAGTCTATCTAAAACGGAGTATGGCATCATCCACCGTGGGGGAAAAAGAAAGAATTTCGTTAGAAATTCAACTTATCACCCCCAAGAGCAAAATGAGCGGTCGAATTTGGAAGCGCAAGCTGGATGCCAAGCTCTCTCCAGCAATGACACTGAATCCACTCTAATCTCGTAATGTGAGCTTGCTTGACGAGCGACGCCCATTACGACGCACAGTAGAATGAGCCGATGGGAGAAGTCGGGCAAAATTTGGAAAATTTGAAAGCTTATATCTTCAAGAATATGAATCGGGGAAGTTTAAAAATAGTTCTAATGAGTTTTTTTTCCCATGAAATTCCTCACAAAACCCCCCACTTGAAATTGTATTGGGACGAAATAAATATCAGAATCTGTAATTTCAGTCAAAAATTTTATGCCCGGCCTCCTCTAACAGCTCGTTCCTTTGTGCGACGCGGCGCCGCGTCGCGTCGCACCGGCACGCGATCGCAAAAAAAAATCACGTGCGCACGCTTTGCGTCCGTCGCACAGTGGTTCGAGTCAATATCAGAGGTCGGACAAAATTTGGAAACTTCGAACGCTTATAACTCCGTTTATACAAAACTTTGAGGTTTTAAAAGTGGTTTCATTGGTTTCCTCGTGAAATTCGACGATTCCAAGAGAGCACAGTCAACAATCGTCGTTGCTCAGTGGCGTGGCGTGCTTTGCGGTAAATCGATTGATCCGCCATTTGGACTGCATTTTGCAATTTGGACCTATAAATTCCGGCCCGGTTTAAAAACAACGTATGTGCCATTAGTTTCCCTATGCACATAAGTGTTTTTTCAGATGAGCCACAATTTATAGGTCCAAATTGCAAAATGCAGTCCATTTAAACCTATGGAAGAATATCGATAAACAGGGTGTTCGCAACGAACACCTCGAAATCGATTCTTCATCATAGCTTCAAATGGGGAAATATCGATAATCGATCACTCACGCCTCGGCACTGTCGTTGAAGGAACGTGACTCCATTCCAAGGTTGCAAAATTGACTCAAACAATTCAATTTTTTGTAAGAATGCACCTGTGCATTTTAAGGCCAAAATGATTCTGATTTCCGCACGGGATCAGAAGAAAAATCGGTGAAATTTTCAGTCAGAGATGCTCAAGACTCTTCTTGTAAACTACAATTTGTAAAAGGAAATTTGGTGCCATTGAACGAACGAAAACCAATGAGCCGAAAAAACAATCGATTTCCTGAGTTTTTTTTCACACTTCGTGGGAATGTGTGGCGTAACGTAAACATACGATTTTTTGTTTTCATTCATGAGGAGGAAACCCTCCCCCTTCGACGGAGAAAAAAAGAGTAATTTTTTTCGAACCGTCGTGGTGAGATAGGCGGGAAAAATTGTTTACTGTCCCTACTTTGAATCGATTAATCCGTCCATTGTTGCCTTCTTTTCAAGTAAAATTCCCTCGCTTAACAAAACTTTTAATGGGCAAATCAGACAATTTTCTGCAAGATTAGCAACTTTTTGATTGCACTGGCACGCACTGGTTTGCTACCAAATCTGTCACTGAGGCGAGGGAAAAATATAGGGGACAAAAAATAACAGTGCTGGAATTTAAATCGATGTAACGATGTGCTCCGGTAAGAGAGGTAAATGCTAGGTTGAAAATAAATCCAACTGGAATCGAACTTTAAATTTCGGTGAATTTATTAAGTCTCCTTTAAAAAGCGTGGTAGCGCTTTTCTGCCTAAATTGACTAATCGGTTGCAGAGACCCCATGAATGGCTCACGTATACTGGGTGCAAAAACGAGAAATGATATCTTCTATATATTTTTAAAAGGCTCACTATTTCTGTGCAATGACACCGGCATATATCTTGTTATCTTTATTAAGAAATCTTACGGCGACGTCGCAGCTAAAGATTTACTTTTTGTAAGGTGCTCCGGCTCCCTTGAGAAGATTAGTCTTTTCTTATTTCGCACAACAAAAAACTGCCGAGGGAAAGGACGTGCAAAAACTACTGATGTCCATTTTCCCAGCCTTATGTTTTTTCGAGTTCATAATACTTTTCGGAGTTGGTTGTGACCACGAAAGTGGCGTTAAAACTCGTCTTCGGGTTTCCTTAATTCCTGAACGAGTCTTTTCATCACTATTATGGCTGTTTCATCTCTTTAAAAATATTGCAAACTCAAAAAAACTTAAGACTAAAATATAATATAACTTAAGACTATACAAGACTATAAAATATAACTTAAGACTTAAAAATATTACAAACTCAAAAAAACTTAAGACTGGGAAAATGGACATCAGCAGTTTTTGCACGTCCCAATTCAAATATTACAGTCTTAAGGAATCCAACTTTTCTTCGTAAGAACATTAATTTATCAAGTTTACCCGCCAGTTTCAAAAACGGCTTCCGAGTGAAAAACAATTGTGCCTAGTTGAAATAAATGAAATTGATTAAATCAAAAGGGACTATATACGTAGGATTTGAGTGCTACATAGCCCCT